CCAGGCATGTGCCCTGACCGGGAATCGAACGCTGATCGCCTGGGTCCCAGGTCGTCGCTCAACCACTGAGCCGCGCCCGGCCGGGCCGCACATATTCTTTCGAACTGGTGTTTTGGGTTCCTTAGGATATATTCCCAGAGGTAGGATCGCTGGGTCAAAAGGCAGCCCCATTTTTCATGTTTTAAAATCCTCACTCAAGGATGTTTTTATTGTTTTAGAGGAAGGGGGGAAGAGAGAGACATTGATGTGAGAGAAGCTTCAATCCGTTGCCTCCCTTACACGCCTTGGCCAGGGATCGAACCTGCAACCCAGGTATGTGCCCTGACCGGGAATCGAACCCGCAACCTTCCTGGTGTACGGGACAAGGCTCCAACCAGCCGAGCCGCCGGGCCGGGCTCCTCTGTAGAATCGCATGTCTAGGCCTCAGGGAGAGTCGGACAGACTCGGGCAGGAAACGTGACCATATTAGATGAGATGAGGAAAAACAGCAGGTCGTGCGGGTGCAACTCCACCCAGGACTGTCTCACAGATGTGAGGTGAGGCTGGACATTGACCAGATGACCGTGGGGATGTCTGAAGAAGTAAAGGAGATAAACTCTCTCCAGTAATTCAGGCTGGGGTGGGGCGCACCCTGGGCAGACTGAGATGAAAATCAGGGACGTGATCTTTGGGGGACAATTATAAGCCGACAGGACCTGTCTTTCCCCCGGAGGATGACTGGCCCCCATGCACCCACAGGCTGGGGGCTTGTTCTGACCTCGCTCAGCAGTGGGATGATATCTCCTTGGCCCTCGAAGTCAACCAGTCCCTGCAATCCCTGGACCTCACGGCCAGCGAGCTCGGGGACCAGGGCGCCAAGCTGCTGGGCACGAGTCTGAGGCACCCGAAGTGCCTCCTGCAGCGGCTGGTGTGAGTGTCCCCCCTTTCCCCACGGGGGCGTCTTTGTGTTTAGATCTGGGGCCCCACGGGGAAGAGCTACGGTAACGCCCCTGTTTGCTGGGCCACCCGCCGAGGGAGCCAACACCTGGCCCCACGTTTTGGCCCCAGGCAGGTGAATCATACGTTTTTCTTGCGCTTCTCTCGTTTCTGGCCCTTCATGGCGCAAGGTAGAGGGTGGGAGGGAGCCCGGCAAGCTCTCCGCCGGGAAGGTCGGGCTTTGGAGCTGCTTTCTCACCGTCTGACCGAGGCTGCGGGGCTCCCGCAGGTTGGAAAACTGTCGCCTCACACAAGCCTGCTGCCAGGAGCTCTCGTCCGCTTTGATGGTCAACCCTCGGCTGACGCACCTGAGCCTGGCCAAGAACGACCTTGGGGACGGTGGGGTGAGGCTTCTGTGCGAGGGCCTGAGCTACCCCGAGAGTCGGCTGCAGACCTTGGCGTGAGTCCCCCGGCTGCGTGTCTGTGTGTGTTTATCTATAATAAAAGGAGGCAGCTGGAGGCCGGTTCCACCCCCTGCCACCTGGGCAGGTGGAAATTCCATCACCACCGGTCCACTTGCCTGCTGCGTGCGAGCCCACCTGGAGCACAGGGCTCTAGGGGGAGGCTCCCTGGTATGGTCGGCAGTGGCCTCCCGGGGACTGTCCCAGGTGGATGCAGCCCTCTCTTCTCCTGACTCTCCACAGGCCGAGTCAGTGCCACATAGCCCGACTCGGCTGCAAGCACATCTCCGCCCTTCTCCAGGGAGACTCCAGCCTGACGCACCTGGGCCTGGGCCTCAACCCCATCGCCACGGGGCTGTGCTTCCTCTGTGAGGCGCCGAAGAGGCCCAGCTGCAACCTCAGGTGCCTGGGGTAGGTGCCTCTGCTCGTAATGGCGTTTTGGGAGTACCCAGCCTCTGCGAGGTACTTTGGAATATAGGCTGTGTATTGTATTGTGTGTTCACCACCCCAGGCCAGGTCTCCTTCCCTCTCTCTAAAAGCCAGTGGAAAGAATACCCGCAGGTGAGACGAACAACAAAGGAGCTCGTTCACCAGCATCAACCTACCTAATCTCTCTCTGGTTCACTTACCCTAACAGTTCATTCCTGTGGTCTTCAAGGTGGGAACCAGGTGGAGGGGGGCAAGGGGGAAAAGGGGGACGTCTATAACATTCTCAACAATAAAGATAAGAAAACACACCATGTGGCTTGGCCAGCGTGGCTCAGCGGTTGAGCATCGACCTAGGATCCGGGAGATCGAGGTTGGATCCCGGTCCGGGCACAGGCCCGGGTTTCAGGCTCGATCCCCAGCAGGGGCCGTGCAGGAGGCAGCCGATCAGTGACTCTCATCATTGATGTTTTTCTCTCTCTCTCCCTCTCTGAAATCAATAAATATATATTCTAAAAAAGGAATTGCAATTCAGCTTAAAAAAAA